CGCTTGTCTTATTTCTTGTCTGATCCCCTCCCTGTAACGTCTGGAGTGCCCCAAGGTTCCATTCTGGGTCCTTTGTTATTCTTGCTTTACGTTAATGACCTACCTTCAGTTGTCCCCGATGTTAGTTTGTATGCGGATGACACTGGCCTTATCTGTTCTGATTCCTCCCCTGCACAATTACTCCTTACCATGCAGCATCGCATCAACAGCACTGTCATGTGGATGCAAACGTGGAAACTCCAGCCCAATTTAGACAAGACAGAAGCCATGTATATTTCTTCATCCCCTCCTGATCAACCATTATACTTCCCTGACTCGACTATGCCTATCCGTGTTGTTACTCAGCACAAACATCTAGGTGTGATGTTTGACTGCAAACTCTCTTGGGCTGCACATGTCAAGTGTGTATGCAAGCGAACCAGTTCAGCATTAGGGGTACTACAACCACATTGCACTCATTTGCCCATCCAGTGTAAACTATTATTTTATCAGTGCTATATTCTCCCTATATTCGACTATTGCGATACCGCTTGGTGTGGCCTTTCTGACACAACTCTGAACCAATTAGAAGTCCACCATAGATTTATACTTAAAATTCTTTACAACAAGGATCGATGTTTTCCTTCGGATGCCCTTTATCGACTTGCACACACTTCTCCTCTCTCCGTTCGTCATAAGCACCATCTCTGTACACTGGTTCATAAAATATTTCTTCATAAAACCCCTTCACACATGATGAAGTACAATTGGTTTTCGACAAGCTCAACCCGTAACGCGCTCATCCTGCCTCTTGTTAAGTCAGCCCAGTATCTAAAGTCCCCTTTGTTTTCCGGCTACTCTCATTGGTTATCATTACCATACGGTCTGAAAACTTGTTCTTCTATTGGTCAGTTTAAAGATCTACTATCACAACTGAACTAGACGCAATAATTATCATCGAAGAACATTCTCGAATACCTGGGTGATGCACGAATTTTGATAGTGCTCACTTCCGTTAATCGTTTTTCTTTGTAATTTTCCATTCATTTTCTGCTCTAATTCATATTTGCTTTGTTTTCCTAGCTTACTATTGCCGTGGCTGGCTCAACGCCCTTGTCTCAGGGGATTCTGTCCCTGCATTAGCTATGCTTGTCACATGCTATGAGATTGTGTCTAATAATAATAATAATAATAATAATAATAATAATAATAATAATACTAATAGACCAGTTCGCGTGCAAGGCAGCAAATGCTAACCTTTCCGCTTCTGTCTCTTTTGAGCTCTGCTACATGTGATGGTTGTGGAAAAAAACACCCGAGAGAAGTGAAAGTGAAAATGCACAACCGGATAGAGGTGTGTATGATGATGGGTGTATGTAAGTACGCGCATGTATGTGCTAGTGTGCGTGCGGGGAAGTGTGCGTGCGCGTGTGGGAAACGGAGTGCAAGCACTAATAGTTACTGAGCGGCCAAAATGCAGCGGTTACTGCTGAAACGTTAAGAACGGGGTCACTGAACGGAGCGGACAAAAGGCAGCAGCTACTGATGGAATATGGCACGCCACTGATTCTTGTCAGTGGCAGTGGCGCGGACCTCTTCCAAATCCCCCACACTCTTCAACGGGATGTTCCTTTCTTGGCGGTCCTCGATGACCGTGGTGGTGAGTGTTGTCTTCAGTCTACAACAGTGGCCGGTAGCGTCTCCCTTCAGGTAGCAGGTCATAGCTCTGAAGGCAGGTGCATTGGGATCCATCCAAAGGACGTGCCCTAGCATTTGCGTTCTGCGGCGCTTTACAATTGCAGATATCGGTTCAGAGCTGCATCTCTTGTACAACGCATCATTCGTTATATGGTCTGCGTGACGAATTCCAAGAATCGTTCGTAGCTGTTTCCTGTGGAATACGTCCAGGGGTGCCAGGTTGCTCTCCGTGAGTCCCCACGTCTCACAATTGCAGAGGAGTGTGGAGATCACGAAGGCATTGTATATTCTCAGCGGGCGCTTTTCTGACACCTTCTCCTTCCGGAGCCATAGGAGAACATCCTGCCAAAGACCTGCGAGGCCTTTTCCATGCGGTTAGCAATATCATCACCCTCGCCCAAGTAGGACGCAAGCTGTTTAGATTTCTTCCATCTTTCACCTTCAGACGTTAAGTGGATCCAATCTGCCTTCGTCTCGTTTACTTTCAGAACCCAGACTCCGAGTGGGCAAAACTTCCTTGAGCCAAGATAACTTACGGGACAGGAAGTTAACAACATCAGCGTAACCGGTCTCTGGTGGGATCATGTTATCATGCTCTGGCCTTGAAGGGAAATGGTCCCGACACTCCCGCAGGGCAGCCACCAGGTAACAAACGAACAGTATCGGGCTGAGCCTATCTACCTGCGGAGTCCCGATATTGGCTTCGAAGTGATTGAATTCCTTCCTGCTGATCTTGACTGTAACAGAGGTACGATACAGCAGGTGTTGAATCATACACACCTCATCTGAACCCGCAATGCCCGCCATGACCTCCACCACCTCCGCTCGGTCAAGTGAGTCAAAAGCACGGGACATATCTAGTCCTAGTATGTGGCAGTCCCAGTCGTATCGAATTGCTTTATCTGCAAGCCATCGGATGCACCATACAACGTCACTAGTGCTGCGACCTGCCCGAAATCCAGATTGAGTGGGCCCAAGGAAGCTAGACACTTGCTTCGATATTCGGTTCAGAACAACGAGAGATATGACTTTGCGGATAGTATTGAGGAGGGTGATGGGGCGTAGGTTTGCTGTTGGTCCCTTCGGTTTGTTTGGTTTGTTTAGATGGGCAATCGAGCCACTGCTTAAAGTGGAAATATGATTGTCTCCATTCGTGATGCACGAATTGATGATTTCCGATATGACTGGAGCAAGCTGACTACAGGAGTACTTGATCAGCTCTGCCTGGATACCATCAGGACCACATGCACGACAGTTGTGAAATTTGACGGGTGCCTTTACGACTTGTGCTGATTGGATTGGATTCTGCAGTTGGTGTGGCCTGGTTTGATCAACAGGCACTGCGGTGGGACTGTGAAACAGGCGCTCAAAATGGATTGCTCCTGCTTGAATCTTTTCCGTGTCTTTGCAAAGGGTTTCACCGTCCTCTGAATGGATTACTAGCTGGGATTTCTTGCTTTTCTTCAGTACCGGTGGCAGCTGCAAACATCCTAGCGGAAGTTGGGGCGTTCTCTACCTCGGCGGCAATGTGATCTATCTTTTCACTGGCGTCTTTTCTCTGGAGTTCCCAGATTCTGTGCATCAACTGGTTTCTCTGTTTCTTGATTGCTGGATCAGTGTTGCCGGCTGCCATCTGCAACCTCAGTTCTCCCTGCTGTTTTGATAATTTTGATAAGAGTAAATCTCCACAGATCCAAATAACTGCAGTTACTATACTTGTCTCATTTGCAGTTTCTCGAGTCAAAATACTATAAACTGAACACCTTTTCCCACATGAAATCCATGGATATCAGAATGATGTGACGAAGGAAAATATAATAATGCAGAAACTAAACCCTGTGGATCCGTTTGGACTCTACAACACAGGATGAGGGGTGACCGTAGTTGATGAATCCCCTTAAAACTTACCTCTTTGGTATTTCTCATCCAAAACATCTATTATCTCTATTATCACTTAGGCTTGAAGGCTAGCGTCCCAGACACTACCCTAATATATTTGTGACTTTCCACACTTTTCTCATCTGTCTATGCAGGTACCTACACAATAATACATTTGAACGGCTTCCTCCGAATGTATTTGGCAACCTTACAAGCCTTACATGGCTGTAAGTTGAACTATAAAGCTCAGACTTGGAGTTTACTCGAAGCTGATCACTTGAACTAAGCCACCGTTCCTTGCATTGCTGTAGTGTAGGGTGATTCAGGGTTCTTCTTGGGTCCTTGAGCATGCAAATCAGGATGAATTGAGGAGAGTAAATCTCCACAGATCCAAATAACTGCAGTTACTATACCTGTCTAATTTGCAGTTTCTTTAGTCAAAAATTATAAACTGACAACCTTTTTCCTACATGAAATCCATGGATATCGGAATGATGTGACGAAGGAAAAGATAATAATGCAGAAACTAAACCCTGTGGATCCGTTTGGACTCAACAACACAGGATGAGGGGTGACCGTAGTTGATGAATTCCCTTAAAACGGATCTCTTTGTTATTTCTCCTCCAAGACATCTATTATCTCTTTTATCACATAGGCTGGAAGGCTAGTTTCCCAGACTCTACCCTAATATATTTGCGACTTTCTACACTTTTCTCATCTGTCTATGCAGGTACCTAGAAGGTAATGAACTTGTAATGCTTCCTCCAAATGTATTTGGCAACCTTACAAACCTTGAAATCCTGTAAGTTGAACTATAAAGCTCAGACTTGGAGTTTACTCGAAACTCATCACTTGAACTAAGCCACCGCTCCTGGCATTGCTGTAGTGTAGGAAGATTTAGGGTTCTCCTTGGGTCCTTGAGCATGCACATCAGGATGAAGTGAGAAGAGTAAATCTCCGCAGATCCAATTGACTGCATTTGCTATGTTAGCTCCAGGCTAAACGAAGTCCCCTCACTCTTCCAGAACACAGGGTGTTGAATATGGAAAAAGTATTTGACAAGAGATTAGACAAGAACGAAGGAGAACATGACAGCATAAACACAACTCGAGACTAGAGGACCACTGGAGCATGCGCTTTTCTATGCATGGGTGGCTCTCATTGCCGAGGGGAACGAGCGGGAAATACGAATAGTGAATATGTACAAGTCTTAGCATAAATACACCTATTTTACTGTGCCCCCTAGCAAAAATTCACGTCCACGGGAATGAACTAAATACCTAGGAAACAAACAAAAGAACACAAACCAAATAATAAAATTAGTCCAGAACATAGTCAGCTAGTCGAGCAGGTGCAGTGCGAACACGGCCAGAACGACGAGGAAAAGGAGAAAAAGTACTAACTGGACCAGAAGAAGGCGGCTGGAGCGGCGGATCATCATCAGATTATGTCAGCAGGTCAGGACGAGAAGCAGTAACGGCGGGCGGTTGACAGTCGGGAGGACGGGAAACAGCTTCAGGCGGATGAACAAACTTGCCACTGGCAGCATCATACCTGATGTAACACTTAGACAGAGCAGGATCAGCATACAGAGCAAGAAGACTCCGAGGTTTGAAACAATCCGGCGACGGTCCAGCAGCAGAGGCAATAGGAGGACGACCAAGAACGGCCGGAGGAACAGTCCCAGCAGCGGGAGGAACATCAGCAGCAAGTGGCACTTCGGCAGCAGCTGACAGGGGAACATCATGGGCAACAGGCGGCGGACTCAGCGGAGGATACGGCCCATCTGTCACCACCTGGGACATGGCATCGGCATTCCTTTTGTGGGATCCAGGGCAGTGCACAACAGCAACTCGAACTCCGCCAAGGCCTCTATCCATCGAGCTTTCCGACCACAGCTCTCCTTGGTTGCGCGCAACGCAGCTAACGCAGAAATATCTGTCCACGCAGTGAACTCGCGACCAAGCAGATAATGTCTGAAGTGGTTAGCAAAGAAGACAAGGGCCAGCGCTTCGCGATCACTGGCGTCATAGTTACGCTCCGCTTTCGTCATTATTCGGCCACCAAACGCAATGGGGCGTTCCACCTTGTCCTGTACCTGGCTGAGGACACCACCAATGGACACGTTAGAGGCATCTGTGTCCAGAAGGAAGGGACCGGCATCTTAGTATTATTATTATTCTTTCTTTTTTACTCTCTTTCTCACTCCTGTGTGCAGCCACACCATACGTGCTCCCACCCCTAACACACCTCAGTCACATGCACACCCACGTACACACGCACACAGCAACAACAAACAGCCTCTGCGGGGACAGCAGCAACAGCAAGCAAGTGTATTGTCAACTCACGGCGACAATAGTAAACAGCTTTAAAAAAAAAAAAAAAAAAAAAAAAGCAACTCATCTAGATCATCGAAATTAGTGCAGTCTGCAATCTGAGCACACCGCCAGCGGTGTGCTACGGAAATATCCAAACGACTCAGCAAAATAACCGTTCACTAGGGCGGGCGGGCATGGGCACTACACTTGCAAAGCAAGAAGAAAAAGAATGCCGCAGCCGGAGCGCATGCTCCTAATATCTCGCATTTGCGAGCAGCAAATGTTACGTCATGCAAAAGAAAGACAAAAAAGAACTACATTTCTCGTTTCTTTCCTACGTCAGCCAACGAGAAATGAGGCATTTCTTTTTTACTCTCTTTCTCACTCCTGTGTGCAGCCACACCATACGTGCTCCCACCCCTAACACACCTCAGTCACATGCACACCCACGTACACACGCACACAGCAACAACAAACAGCCTCTGCGGGGACAGCAGCAACAGCAAGAGCAGCAAAGCATAGCTAATGGATGGCCAGTGCCCTTGACACTGAGAGCATTGCTGAGAGTGACTCCTTGAAGTACATCCGCATGGATGTTTCGCTTCTCCAGCCGCCCTGACGCTGGATCAGTCTATCCGGGACTCCTGCTGCCGCGGCCACCGATGCTCCCCCAGAACGCAGGCTATGCAGCCCAAATGCGCTTGGGTTGAAGTTCGCTTGGCACAGCGCGTCCTGGATCAGCTCTCGGGCACGGCTGTAAGACATCTGGTCCCGGACAACTTGACTAGCGTTTCCTTGCCGAATACAGCCGAACAACTTCTGGTGGCCTTCGTAGCCACCTCTAGACAGCAGTCGCTCTGTTAGAGCCACTGGGCATACTGCTCCATGCCATCTTGACAGCAGCACCCAGTTACCTTGGCGCAGTTGATCATTTTTTCTCACTTCGAGAAATAGTGCCATGTAATCTTCCTTGATTTCGATCTCGTCGACGTATATATTTGACAAGTCGTTCCACCGCAAGAGCCCTGCGAAGCCAACGGTCATCAGAGTCGCTGTCTGCAAGTTCTGCAGTGATTCATTGCGCAAGAGCCTGGTAGCAACTTGGTTTAGCATCTGCTTCGTCATCGGCCTCTTCCGGTTCTTCGGCGCCGCCAGCAGTCGTTTGGCGGCCTGGACTAGGTTCCGAACCTGTGCGTTGTCTGTGGGGTCCGGTAGGCCTCGCACCTTGTGCGACCAGGCCAACGCGCAAATAGCGGATGTTATTGGTGACGCTGTCCGTGCCTCCTGGAGCAGCTTCACGACATACAAACATATGTGCCAAGACTCGGCTGGTACGCTCGGGATCTCTTGACTGCTAGCCCACTCTTGCCAGCGCTGAAATGTCGACAAATACTTGGTCACTGTTCCCGGTGCCCTACTCGCCAACATGACTTCTGGAATCTTCCTGGATAGGTTCATGAGCTCCTGGGTTGGCTCCACTTGAACCGCCCTCAGCTCTAGGCATGAACACAAGATCATAACGCGAGGCGCCTGTCAACAGAGTCATCAGCATTAGCGTCGGCTTCAGCATCTGCAGCAGCTATCAGCATCACTTGAAGAGCATTATACAACGGCATCAGCAGCAGCGTCTGCCAGCCCTGTGGGCTACAACATCGTCATCGGCATCACCAGCAGCAGCATCCATCCGCCCTGCGGATTATGACATTGTCAGCAGCATCTGCCTCCTGCCCTGCAGGCAATGGTGTTCCCTGAACACCAACATAGGACAATGCCTCGTGCACCGTGCACTCACATGTGCTCGCGCCACAAAACCACAGCAATCGTGTCAGTACGCAAATCAGCAACAGTTATTCTTCATGCACACTCTTAAAGCCAGCATTTCTGAATAATATTGCTTGCCCCCCAGCAAGTTGTAAGGGCAGGTACCTTCCAGAAATGTGTTTTCATCATGGGGTAGCACCAAAACTCCTTTTACAAATGGTTTCCAGCTTTGCCTCCCATGTAATTTTGGCCACCAATCCGCTGACACCCACTTAGGCACAACCAGTGTGCCATGGCCGCAGCACATTTTTAACATACTCAAAACTCTGGGTATTAGGTGGAACGGAGGTGTAAGCCACACCGTTTCCATTGACCAATCAACCGTAAAGGCATCGATCGCATAACATCCCGGATTCCACCACCTTGAACAGAAACGCTTTAACTGTTTCGTCCTCAGACTCGCAAAGCAATCTAGCGAATGGGGACCCCACAAACGCTCGATTTGTTCAAAAACAGCCGGGTTTAGCCGCCAATCATCTGTGTCAACTATTTTCGAATAGTAGTCCGCCAATTCATTTTGTTCTCTGGGAACCCATTCGGCAATCAGGCGGATTCCGTGTTTCATGCACACCTGGAGGATTCGCATGGCCTCCCTTTGCAAATGCTCCCTTCTGCTGCCCACCTGGATAATGTGCACAGCTGCCTGGTTATCGCTTCTGTGAATGCAGATACCTCCTTCTAGTTTGTGTGCTAATGATTCAAGCACCAACGCGATTGCTCTCAATTCTCTCCACGTGGAGCTTCTTCGGTCATTCAAAATCTCATTGGACCACTCTCCTCTGGCTACCTCGACTGCACTGCCGTCTACTAAAAATCCGCCCCAGCCAGAGTCGCTCGCATCGGACCAGGTCAGGACCGTTGCCTTTGGGCAGTTTTTCCAAAATGGTTGGCCGTGCCAGTCTTCAAAAACCGTGCTCCAAAATTCCAAATCGCACCTTGCCGCATCCGGCCATTTCACTGGGGCGTACCAAGAACTCCTAGACAATATCATGCTGTAGAATGCCCTGGTACGCAGACGGCAAATTGGCCCGAGCGCAAGCGACATAGACAACAGGAAGCCGGCTAGCCTCGCCACTTCCCTCGCGGGTGGCGCTGCTAGACCGCTCAGCCGTGCTAGGCACTCTTTAAGCCTCGCCACTCTGCGCTCTGTCGCAAAAATTCGACCCTCTTTGAGGTCAATGCGCATGCCTAGCATTTCGACCGTTTGTGATGGCTCCCACTGGGATTTTTGTTCATTGGGCACAAACCCAGCTCTCAAGAGGTCAGCTTTCATCTGTTTTGCCACCACCTTTGCCCCTTCGACAGTAGAGTGCCCACCAGACCCGTCGTCCATGTAGAGCTGACATCTTATGCCCAACTCCCTCCAACGCCGCAGATGAGTTTTACCACTAATGACGTACATAAACGTCATTTAAGATGACCCCCTTCCACTAATGACGAATATATATTCGTCTATATATGTAGACGAAATGTAGGGTGAAGTGGTCCCGTCCACAGCAAAGAGGGCTCAACAGCGCTGAGGTGCACTGGAGCTAGTACACAATGGAAGCGGTCCTCACCAAGAAAACACAATCCGTTGCTACTCCGAGTTTCTTGAGTTTTTCAATCGTCAGGAAACTTTACTAACTAAAGCAGGTCTGTCAGGTCCACTAAAGATATACACAACCATTGTTGTGTCAATGATGAACGTCAAATATAGCACCATAATGGCCTTGCACCCCCTGACGCCAGGCATGCGCTAGTGAACTCCAGATTCACGCACTCCATTCAGGGCTTGTTACAGTAATGGACAATTGATATAAATTTTTACACTGCCTACACCTAGCAGCACCTCTTCACGCTTCACTCTTCACGCTTTCTTTTTGTGCGCCTTGCTGTGTGGTTGTGTATGTCTTTAGTGGACCTGACAGCCCTGCTTTAGTTAGTAAAGTGGCCTGGCGATTGAAAAACTCAAGAAACTCGGAATAGCAACGGATTGTGTTTTCTTGGTGAGGACCGCTTCCAATAGGTATGTATCTATTATTGCACGATTAAAGAGGTCAATATAATTATGAAATATAGAATGAGTAAAAGACCGAGGGCCCCCGAGGTCTTTTACGAGGTCTAAATCTCATATATTGACCGATTATGAGAGCAATAATAGATTTATCACGACAAAGCATACCTTAACTGAAGTGCTACGAGGCACCGCTAGAATGGACAATAGTTGACAGCAGTGCAATCATTCACAACAAAGCTAATACAGCTGATCGCTTGTCACACTCAGATCTGCGATAATCCTCTTGCTGAGCTAACAGCAGTACTGGGAGAACACATGGATGTTTGCACACTAGCACAAAGAAGCGAGTCATTCTCCTTCTGCCGAAAGGCTACAATACCCAAGGTCTTCTTCGCGCTGTTCTCACACAATGCCAAGACGAGTCAATACCCAAGGTCCTCTTCGGGCTGTTCTCACACAATACCAAGACGCGTTGGAGCACGATCTACCTGAGAAGACACACAGATCGCACAAGATAAGGCAGCATTTTAAGTTTTTAACGACGGTAGGAATAATGTATGAAACACATAAAGTAATTCAAAGGAAAAAGTGCTCCGCTCTTTATTATACTACACTTTTCCAATGTTATACAGATAATACACTGAATTCCATAGAAGTGGATTTGGTTGTCCCTATCGGGATAATTGCAGTGGGTGCTGCTTCACTTGAACCATATTTTGGTTCCAGTGACGCAGCACTCACTGCAACAATTTGCAGAAAAATTTCTCAATCGCATCGTCGCGCATCGCGTCGCAGAAGTGATATCATGCATCGCGCTTTAGAAAGTTGGCATGGCTGGGCATCACTGCCGGTAGTTCTGCCAAGAGGACGTAACCCGGATTATTAACCCCTGGTGGATTGGTTACACACAGATTCACAGCAGGTACGAGGCCGTGTCTGCATGCGATACACCATGCACACAAGCCTTCATAAGGCTCCTATGAGAAAAAGCGCGCTTTCAATCTAGAAACCACAGCAGATCGTTGACGCACTGCCCCAGCCGGTACCCCAGTTTGTCGCTACGTAATGTGGGCAGCAAGCCCCTTCAGACCCCTCGTGCAAAGTTGCATGCTCGTGGGGTTATGGATTTTTGGTTCAGCCACCAAAATATGAATGCAGTGGAGCTGCGTCAGCGGTGTACATGAAACGAGACAGCATTCGGTTCGTTTCAATTGATAATATCGACAAAGAATACTATTACATTATTACAATGACACCAAGAGAAGCTTTCATGGAAATAAAGGCCGGCATGTCCATCCGCAGCCATGCAGCAGCAACGAGGGTACATCTCAAGAGAATACAACTACAAGTCCATACCCACTAAAATGTCATGCAAATTTTACAATATACAGAGTATAAAGAAATACAAATTTCGCACTTTCGGATTCCTCAACACTACCATCCTAAGCACAGGCACACTAAACGGGAAGAGAACACATTTATTTAGGACATCGTATTCCTTTGGACGCTTCTTTCTTATTGTTGTGCTATGTTCAACAAGGCAACACTTGGGCTCGTAAAAATACTAAAAAAACAATTTTGAGATTCCACTTAGTGCCATCGGTTATTCCAGGCAGCAATGCTCAAACCATTATCATTTCACTACACAACAATATGTACTTACTAAAGCCTAGTTCACATTCGACGCAACGCCGACGGTATGGGACGTAAGGGCTTGTCGGGAGGGCTGGGGTGAGCTGTAAAATCCTGTTCGATTCGTACGACATGACATACAGCAGTCCTTGCGACGTTCAACGTCGAACGGCGTGAGTCATAAGGCACGGTCCGTGACGGGGTGACTTTCGGACCTAATTTCTCGTTTTTCGAGACTTCTTTTCAATTATTTCTCCTTGAAAGAAGCGGAATCAAGTTCACAATACCAGTTTTTCATGAAGATCAAAAAATTAGCCCTGAAAGTTGTGGCATTCAAATGATAGCCCCAGGAAATGATAGAATAGTTCGTCTGTCAGGCTTCTGAACTATCCCTAAATACAATAAGGGACATGAGATCTTATGTTGCTAAAATTCAACTCAAGTCGTGCTTGCAATTCTGTGAGTTATCATGGAAAGCGCAGTGTTCGAAATGCTAAAAATATCCAAGTACGAATCGGGAGTATTCGGCGCACGACGCCGTCTCCTGTTCACACTCGAATTGCAGGCGTTTTGTACGCTTGCGTCCCCGTCTACGCCCGTCTACGGTATGAAAAGTTGGATTGATCCAACTCTTCCCGTCGCTTCCCGATCTGTACGGTAGTACGGTTGCGTTCCCGTTCCTGGTGTTCACATTGGACGCCGTCAGACCGTCCCGTCGCTTCCCGTCGATCCTTACGTTGTGTCCCGTCGTGACCCGTCGAACGTGAACTAGGCTTAAGATCCGCCATGAGAGCTTAGTGTCTGCGGCTCTTGAAAAGCGCAGCTCGTCTACTTCTCGATGCCAGTCGGCAAAACGAGCAAATCGGGGAGAGCAGTTTCTTCCATAAATAAAGGCCAAGATGGCGTTTGCGATTCAAATTTTCTACTCCGCGTCAAAGCAAGACATTGAACTCATTATCTTCCATTGCTGCAAAGGCAAAGAAGCGAAGACAGGCCATGGGAAAGGCCAAAACAATTGCCAAATTTCACCGCCAACTGCCATTGTCGTCATCATCTTCACCAACACAGTTTTGTGCAGTCTTTTTCCAGCGGGATCGGACCGAAGAAAATGAAAACGGCCCACTCAGTGGCCTGGCGCACGGACTGCGTCCTAAAAACGGCTACTGAATTCCAACTACCAGTGAAAAAACAGTCATTTTCTACAAAGGACAAAAATAGCAGAAGGCACCGGCTAGCCAGAAAGGCATACGGGAAAAATGTGGAATACTACCTTACTGCGCAGTAGAGCGCAGAAGAACCGCGCGCGGGTACGTGACATAAATGAAGCATGAGCAGCAGGGAGTAGTACAATACCGGGAGATGACACGAGCACACATCCGGGATTACGAGCTTTGCCTCACAAAAAAATACAAACCGCGCGAAAATTCAAATTTTTGCTCTTTTGACAGCGCTGAGTAACCTTCAAATAGTGACGAGAAGACCAGACGTATCCCTTCGTGACAAGCTGCCACTTGTCCTTTTCAGCTCGAGCCTTTTTTGGGAGCTACTCCGGTACATCGTCCACACTGCTGCCAAGCCTGGACTCCCCAGAATGGATGGAAGTGACGAATATGGAGGAAGCCATCCTAGGTAAGTAACGTGATGGAATTTTCTCATCTTGACATGGTGTAACACGAACCTGAATTTCTCATTTGGACCCACTCGGACACCTCACCAAGTTGGGATATTTCGAAACTATACCTATTTGTCTACCATTCTACTTCATCTCAACGTGTTAGCTCCTGTAACACTTTGGAAAACTCATTCCGAAAATTTCGAAACTTATTTAGTTGTATAGATTTGAACATAATGTTCAAGATCACTTGTTTTCAGCACTGAATGAGGCCAGGGCTGGTTGCATTGTTGCTTTTTTAACTCCCAGAACTCGTGGACAGAAGAGGAAGAGCGACGACTTGGGTGTGGCTGCGAAGTCTGCCTGCCCAACGCCAATTGCAATTACACCCACACACATACACACACTATCTTGTACTTGTACACCACACACGCGCGCACGTGCGCCTACATAAAACTATTCGTCTTTATCCTTTTGTGTTTGACATGATCACCTTTTGTACTACTCCCTGGTGATTATTTGCATAACAAGAATGGCACAGGGATGACCTGTGGCATTGTACGCTGTACACGATTCCACGGTGCCATAAAAGTAACATTGGTTATAATCATGGATTATGCCTTGGTACGGTACGGAGGGCCTGTTTTCAGCCAATCAGCTCTCATCTAGCCATGGTTATATAAATCCCGGTGCACGGTACCTACGTTAGGGCACTGCCGCCGTACAAGTTCACTGTCTGAAAGGCAGTGAACTTGTACGGCGGCAGTACTCCAGCGCGCGAACCATTCACAACAGACACCACATGCACGTGTACTCCACACAGAAAGGCACACTGACGAGGAACAGTACACAATGGAAAAGAAGAATGACCTGGAATTCGTCTACAGAGTAGTCTATTATACTGAATCTGAGGATAAAGAACGTCGAATAACCACGAAATATCCCAAATGGGTCGGCAATGTACATTGTACTTCAAAGAGTTGAAGATCATCAACAGACTGTCTCCTTCGTAACTAAGTTTATAATACAGAGTAAACTTCAATCCGCAAAATGCTGGATGGCGTGTTTGGCGAAACTGGCACTTCGCCAGGTTGAGGGTAACATTGTGGGCACGTAGGCGTTGCAGGCAGGCGTGCAGGCGCTCATCGTTGACTTGGGCCGTCTCGCCGTAGATGAATATATTGTCGTGCACGCTGCGAACACCTGGGAGACCCGCGAGGACACGGTCCATGGTCCGCTGGAGGATCTCAGACGCTGAAGCCAACCCCATGGCGAGTCGCTTGCACCGCATTAGGTCGAGGGGCGTGTGGAACACGGTGAAAAGACGGGATGAATCGGCCAGTGAGATCTGGTGGAAGGCCTTGTTCATATCCAACTCGGTGAACACGGTGGCCCCTGGCATGTCGGAAGTAATCTCCTCGAGCGTGGGGATGGGATGGCGTTCCTGTGCCGCAACGGCGTTGACATCACGGAAATCCTGCGTGAGACGCACTTTGCCCTTGCGCTTCGGCACGACCACCATTCGGGCAACCCATGGGGTGGGGCCAGTGGCAGGCTCGATGACATCCAATGCGAGCTGCTCATGGAGCTCAGCGAGTGCGTCCTCCTGGAGGTGGACAGCCACTTTGGATGGTGCGTGAGCGACAGGGCGGGCGTTGCCATCTACGTAGATATGGGCTTCTACGTCGTTGATGCAGCCGAGGCCCTGGAAGCGGTCGTGGTACTCAGCAAGGTCGTCTGGCAGTTGCGGACTTTCGATGCTGTGGACCAGCTGGATGAGGCCAAAACGCATGGCGGTCTCGCGGCCAACGATAGCAGCGGTACGTGGTGCGTGTGCGACAACGAGGAATGTTGCCGTCGAACTCATGGTAGCGGAGGAAACACAGAGAGTGATGCTACCCAGAAGAGGAAGAGGTGAAGTTGAGCCGTAAGCAAAGATTTGCACATCCGTTTTCTGAAGTGCTGCACCAGGGGCAACCTTTGCCAGGTCATCAGTATTGATGATATTGTGACTGGCACCACTATCCACCAAGACAGTCAGGGGTACGCCGTTGACGTGCACGGTGCGCCGGGCATCCTCACGGCAGGGTGCCGTAGATGGGCGAGGCGGAGAGTCGGTAGAAAACAGCTCTGCGCCGATCTCTAAAGAATGAATGGCATGGTAGCCGCTGTTGACAGCGTGCTGGTCAGAGTGTTGGTGGGGACGGCGTTCCCTGAACGTGCGGGCCTGGATGGCGGAGTCCGAGGCGCGGCATGCCGCAGCGAAATGGTTTGGCTTGCCACAGCGGCTACAGAACTGGCCCTTGGCAGCGTCACATGTGGCATGGCCTGGCTTTCCACACCGGTAGCAGGTCAGACCGGATGAGGTAGGCTGTGGATACTGGGCTTGGGGCTGGCGTGCAGCTGCGTAGCCGTGGCTCTGTGACCCCGAGAGGGCATCCACATGGGCAGGCTGGGGTGCTGCTGACGCCAGGGAAGCGACGTGGGCGTCCTGCTGTGAAGCCACTGAAGAGCCCAGAGAGGCGTCCTTGATGGCGAGTACATGGGTGATGCTGGCCTCATACGCGCGGGCTGCTTTCAGAGCTTTGTCGGAGTCGAGGCCATCGACCTCCAGCAGTTTTCGCCGAAGGGCGTCGGACTTGCAGCCGATAATCAGCTGGTCCAAGACAGCCAATTTCTCCGCGGCCGTATCCGGGAAGCCGCTGCCTTTCACGTGGTCGCCCAAACGACAACAAAAACCCTCCATAGTCTCGTTCGGCTGTTGACGAAGCTGACGGAAATTGAACCTGAGGAGCGTTTTGTTTTGGTGTTTATCGAACTCGTCCTGCAATGCTTTGGCGAGGTCGTCGAATGTTGTCCCTGTGTTGCTGAGAGTGGGCACGAGTTGCTGGATGTCGTCTCCTCCCAGGTACTGGAGTAGCCCACGCTGTTGGTCGTCATCGCCAATTTTGGACGCAGCAAGATAAAGTTTGAAACTCCGTGTCCAGGCGGGCCAGCGCGTGGCGGCATCGTAGAGGGAGACATAAATAGGAAAAGGTCCAGGGGGCGGAGTGGCGGGTGGTCGGTCACCCATGATCGCCGCGGAGGAACGAAATAGCTCGCAGCGCCAATGTAGTATTGTTTCTTCGTCAGTCCAAAACAACAAGAGTCCAGAGTCAAACCATGCACAGCAACTAAAAGCCGCCAAGTCCGTTTCACGTGAGCCCGGGAAACGGCACATGCTACATGCATAACATCACGATGTACTACTACTACTACATGCATCATGAATGTCTGGAGTGGCCAAGGAATGCCACACCGCGTAGGAACACGTGAACACTACAGGGTCCATGGACTAGAACACAATAACTTGTTTAGAAAACTGCCATAAAGCAGTTTTTATTGCTATAATGAATGTGTTTCATGAGGAAATCTCGTGCTAACTGTCGTGACATTCAAGTGTACGAGTTTAGTGTGTAAGGGCCGGGTTCCACTGCGGCTCCGCTGCTCCGCTGCTCGTCTTTCGCGGCTTGAAACGTCATCATTACCATAGTGACCGTGGCTCGAGCTGGAGCAGCAAGACCTAGGCTCACCGCGAGCTTTTGCTACGATTCTTGACCAAAAACTGCGAGCCGCGGTCGCGGCTCGACCTGTTTCCCGTACTTTGCATTGTTTTGTACGCCAGAATTCAAATTTTAATTCGTTGCTCAGGCCAGAACACGAGGATTTTTGGATTTCGCGCGCGCAGGGCGGTGAAACGTCATCAAAAAGTGTGGACCACGACCGCGGTACCGCAAATGGCGAGTGTCAGTGGAACCGCGCTACTCCGCTGCATGCAGCCAAGTGCTGCGGAGCAGCGGAGCCGCGGAGCCGCAGTGGAACCCGGCCCTTATACTCGGTACGTACTGAGCTCTGTAACTTTCTTTTGTCTCCATATACTGCATGCTTTACGTTACGCGCATATCAGTTTGACCCTGAGTTCATGTCTGCTATCCCATGTCTCCTCGATTTCTGTTTGCTTCACTTGGCACCCGGTTACGGTGTAGCGCTGCCCGTCAGCTTTAGCTGTAGCAAAAATCGTACTTTAGTCCTGCTCATGCTTCATTTATGTCACGTACCCGCGCGCGCGGTTCTTCTGCGCTCTACTGCGCAGTACGGTAGTATTCCACATTTTCCCGTATCCCTTTCTGGCTGGCCGGTGCCTTCTGCAATTTTTGTCCTTTGGAGAAAATGACTGTTTTTTTCACTAGTAGTTGGAATTCAGTAGTCGTTTTTAGGACGCTCTTAGATTATGGTTTGGAACAAAAAAAAACGTACTTGGTCCTACTTAATAAATTGTGTCCCAGACTCTACCCACATATTTTCGACTTTCTGCACTTTCCTCATCTGTCTATGCAGGTACCTACACAATAATGAAATTGAACGGCTTCCTCCGAATGTATTTGGCAACCTTACAAACCTTGAATTCCTGTACGTTGAACTACAAGGCTCAGACTTGAGTTTACTCGAAACCTTTTTCCTACATGAAATCCATGGATATCGGAATGATGTGACGAAGGAAAAGATAATAATGCAGAAACTAAACCCTGTGGATCCGTTTGGACTCTACAACAAAGAATGAGGGTTGACTGTAGTTGATGAATCCCCTTAAAACGGATACCCAATACGCATGCGTTGCTCTCAAGGAAAATCCCCTGCATGCACAGAAGTGACAAGCAAAAATTTTGAGTCGATCGGCGGCAGGTGAAATTTAAAATTTCCAGCTGTTCACACAGTCGGCGCTCAGTGATACATTGGCCTATCACGAAGATCGTTGCATAAGGCCGTTATCACACTGTGTTTGTTTGAGGCGCGTTTGCGTTTGCGTTTGAGACTGGAAAACGCAAGATGTGATATCATACTTTATCACATGGCACGTGATTGTTGCCCATACTCCGGCGAATAAGCACCTTGGGCCGTGGGCAACAATATGCGATATTGCCCGCAAAAAAATAGTTTATTTGCACGGAAAAATTGGTTTATTTCAGTGATCGCGTACGCGTGACTACGCGTATATACGACGACTATGTAGATTGTACGACTCTACGACGAGTCGCAGTGTAGCATTGAGACGAAGATGGAATTCTTTTTGGAGATGGACGTCCCGGCAATGGACATGGCGTCGGACGTCTGCCGTGTGGTGCTTGCAGGGATCATTTGTTCAGTCATGTTGGCAGCCTGACCGTCGGTAAGCTTGTGGATAAGATTCAGTTCTGCTCGATGTGGTACTGTGATCACAAACAATTATTTGAAATACCACAAATTCAACTCAGCATCGAGCGTTTCAGATCCTCGCAAAGTCACTGCTTGTGTGTGGTCTTTATGTGCCACGCAGAACTCTTACCAGGCTCATCTGTCCTCTGCCTTCACCTTTGCTTGAACAACAAACACAACAATTCAGGAATGTTTTTCAATGAAAAATACAGCTATCTGGAGCTGAAAAAAAGAAGAAACGTCCTCAGAATTACACACCAGGCCAGGGAGTCGTCAAATACTTGCAGTACTGTATTTGACAACTTCCTGATACACATGTCAAAATGGAGAGACTCTTTGTGGTAGCACTCTTAATTTTTTAACTGAAATTATGATTCTGCTGTGTTTTATTGTGGTTGCCATGTCTATTGCTATGACGATGCCGAGCCGGCACTTTTTTCTCTCTCCGTCTTTCAGTACTGCATACTCTCTGATGGCCTGTAGCGGACTTTTTGTTAGGGTGTAGGAGAAATATGTTCATTTTGCCTGTTTTGATAATGATAGCACATCAATATACATTGTGGTCATAATGTGTTGGCATTTGGGCTAATTTCAACAGCAGCCCAATGGTGTGCTCTGTGGGCCATGTGATAAATTTGTTATCGCATGGTTGCTACGTGCTTTATGGCATATTTATTGCCCCTCGAGGTTAGCCCTAGGGGCAATAATATGCCATAAGGCCCTTGCAACCATGCGATAACATAATACATACATGTGATTTTCAGCGTTTGCGTCAAAACTGTAGGCGCTGGAAATACAAAAATGTGGGGAATTACCGGAATCGATCTCCACTCCTCGATCCAGGTACAGGTGGCCGTGGATGTTGAATTTATTTTCCTGAGATCGAGAAGTGTTCCGTTCCTGCTCCTATGTCCTTTGTCAGTGGTGCTGGGAGAATTAGAGTCGATAGGAAGACTGCAGCCGTTCCGTTGCGTTGCCTGTGTTGGGGTGGCAGTTCCATTGTCGAGGCAAATCGTCCAGCTAGGCTAGCCACCGCCAACTAGTCAGCGCAACCTCCGCCAGTGCCCACATAACAGCTCTAAGCCCGCGTTGACGGAGCTCCGAGTGTTGAATTGTGACTAGCAGCTGAACAGCTGCTAGTCACGACTCAAAACTGGCCGTCCGTGCTCTCTCATCCCTCGCCCCATTCCCTCTTTCACTAAATTTGATGAAAACGGTTCACTCTCCCGAAGGAGAAACGCTACTTCAAACAAGCGATGTTGATCGTCAACGTGGCAGCCATCGAGGTGCGCCAGGAGTACATTACTGTAGCAGAAGTACCCTAGCCGGCCTCAACAACGAGATGGAAACGAAGAATTGAAAAGCACACATGTGAATCACTTGAAAACACTGTCTTAATTAAATACAAAGCAGGAAGTGCTGCGATCAAGAAAGTCCTATCTGCGTTTACGCGTTTCGGTTTTGACCACCCCCCCTCCCCCCCCCCTCTGGTTTGCGTCTGCGGCTGCGGCTGTGCGTCTGGAAACCAACGCTCTCGCGATAAAGTCAGGTGATGACATTTCCTAGTCGACCGTCAAAAACCGAAGAAAACACAGACGCAAACGCGACTTTTCAATGCAGTGTGATAAGGGTCTTAGTGGAAAGCTGAGTCCAATACCTTTCCGATGATACATCATTTGTGAGAATCCCTTGCCGTTTGAGTGAGTTACCAAAGTTTGAACATGCGCGAAGTGACGAGCAAGAGGTCTGAGGCTGCGTTTACACGACAACGCTGGGGGCGAAAACGCAATGAAATCCTTTCGAATCCATAGTTCATTTACATGGTATGCGGAGCAAAACGTAAAAGTTGTGCACCAAAACGGAAGAAAACAAAAAACGCTGGCCAAGGTGAAAGAATTTGAAAACGGAAATGTTCTGCCGGATAAATTTGGGTGTGTGAACAGTCGAAACAGTGTGCCAGCCTCGTTTCCGGCACGTTTGTTTCGTATTCGGCCGTTTACACGGATCCGACAATCCAAAAATTTGTTTTTACAATTTTCGTCATGTGACGTGTGTTGTCGTTTGCCTGTTTTCAACCATTACTTGAGTGTGATTGGTGCTTCCACGGCAACACTTGGCACATGACAAACTTTGGCTGATCCTTTGCTCTCGTGTAGACGCTTGATACAAACGGAGACCACCTCGGATCGGCTTTGATCGTGTAAACATACGAAAATGGAAAAATGCGGGACTGAAAGCGGAAAACTGCCCGCGTGTTGTCGTGTAAACGCAGCCTAAGTCGATAGCCGGCAGATAAAATTTGAAATTTCCAGCTGTTCACAACGTCGGCGCTCAGCGATACATTGGCCTATCGCGAAGATCGTTGCGTTAGTGGAAAGGTGAGTCCAGTACCTTTCCAATGATGCATCATTCGTGAGAATCCCTTGCTGTTTGAGTGAGTTCCGAAAGTTTGAACACTCGTCTATAGCCGTGATGTGTAGTGTACACTGCACACTTTGGGCGCGTCGCGTAAACTCGTCGCTGGCCATCCAGGGTACATCTGGAGCGTGCAAAGGTTTAATGGATCGGCTGATCACTAAACTCATGGCTGTCAGGTGTGTCATCTGCTAGTACTAGTTGCTGACCATGTTCTTGCGACACACGCAAAGTATGAAGGTGAACGCTCGGAGAATCGTCATGCCTTTGACATTGACCCTTTGTTCGTTCGAGATTTGTCATCGTGTCACGCATGGACATCTGCTAAAAATGTTGCTATGAAGAGACCTAACATTCTCAGGTATGCTGCGAGCTTTACTGTTGGCGTTGGCGATCGTGAACAAGCTGAACGACTTGAAAGTTGCA